CCGCCTCTTGGCAGCCGGCGTCCCGCCCTCTCCCACCACCTCCCTGCAGGGGCCCGCACCACAGCTAACCCTAACCCTAACCCCGCCCCACTGCAGCCCTCGCTGCCCGGTGCTGTGCTGCTGTCCTTTCAGACTGGCTCTAAGACACCTCTTCCGGGAAGCCCTCCCTGACTGCACTCGTGGGCTACAGGAACTCAGTCCCCGTGAGCCCCCTGCTTCTACCTCCAACAGAGCACATCCTGTTTCCGGTGACAAGTGTTTACTCGCATAAACGTCTGTCTTGCACCACTTGACCACGGATCCCTGGCTGGCAGGGGTCACCTCAGCGTCAGCGCTGAATCTCCTGAGGCCCCATTTAACGGGAAAAGTAGCGGGGGGAGGAGGGCCCCAGGAGAGGCACTTCTCCCGTGCTGCTTATCACACGGGCTGCGTGCTCTGTGTGGTCGTCTTTTAGAACCCGAGAGAACGTGGCGGGCCTCACTGTAATGAACGGATTTTCCCATCACGGGCACTTGGGAGATGCAAGGCTGGAGACGCATGGAGAGTGGGAAGGGACACATACGTGTGCACATACACACGTGTGCACACAGACGCACACGTTAGAAAGCTCGTCCAGGACGGAAAAACCTGCCGACCTCGTTGGGAAAAGAGACGCTTTGCCGACGAAAGTCCTTCAAAGAACAGATTACCCGACAGTATCTCAGGAGAAGGGATTGTGAGACTCTCACCGTCACAGGATCTTCCCGAAAATTCCACAGGGAAGCGGGGGGCTCCTCCCGGGCAGCTGCAGGTGTAGGAGCCCAGGGTGTTGTGGCAGGACGCGCCCGGCTCACAGTCGTGCTCCTGGCTGTCACATTCGTCGTAATCTGCGCGACATCAGAAGCAAGACAGACACTGTCACGGGGCTCGAGGGCCGGGGGTGAGGGGCGCTTCTGTGCCCGCTGTTACACACGCCTTGTGGGGGGACGTGCGTCTCGGCCAGCAGAGCTGAAAATCACTGAGTGACACCGTAGGTGGACGGTTCTGGGGGGCCCGGGGGACAGGGCGGCACCCACTTCTCAGCCAGGATGGGGACACGAGCTGGTGTCAGGACGTCTGCTGGGGCTGCTCCAGAAGGAAGGGTCCTGGTCCCGGGGCTGAGAGGGGCCGCAGAGACAGGACCACAGGCCCCCGGCCCCTCGTCTCGGGCCCAGGCGCGCCCACAGCGAGCCATCCCCGGGGAAGGCACTCAGCCCACTGGCTCGCTCTGGTCTCTAGTCTCTGTCACTCAGTTTGTTCACAGCGACACGGGTTTACTGCAGAAAATGGGTACAATCCGCACCTAAGGCCACCTCCCACATACAACAGAGTTCTCACGGTGACCTGTGTCCCTGGGCCCTTTCTTTTTTTTTTTTTAATTTTTTTTTTCAACGTTTATTTATTTTTGACAGAGAGAGACAGAGCATGAACGGGGGAGGGGCAGAGAGAGAGGGAGACACAGAATCGGAAGCAGGCTCCAGGCTCCGAGCCATCAGCCCAGAGCCCGACGCGGGGCTCGAACTCACGCGAGATCACGCGAGACCTCGCGAGATCGTGACCTGGCTGAAGTCGGACGCTTAACCGACTGCGCCACCCAGGCGCCCCTCCTCGGGCCCTTTAAAACACAGACTGCGACGCAGCTCGGGCAGTGCTTTACATCTATGTGGGAGTCCCGCTTCCTTCCCCAACCCTTATTTCAGGAATGTTTTCTGTCTCAACACGCCTCGCTTTTAATGACCGCATCAAAGTCCATGGCGTGGGTGTGCCATGAGACACTTAATATCTCCCCTGTTACGGGGCTGTCGACCACTTCCAATCTTTTCCTTTTCTTTTTTTAAGTTTACTTTTTTATTTCGAGAGAGAGTGCCCGAGCAGGCAGGAGGGGGGGGAGAGAGAGGGAGAGAGAGGATCCCAAGCAGGTTCTGCAGCGCTTAGCCGAAGGAGCCACCCAGGCACCCCCAGCCTTTTCTTTTTTTTTAAACGTTTATTTTTGAGACAGAGATGGGAGCAGGGGAGGGGCAGAGAGAGAGGGAAACACAGAATCTGAAGCGGGCTCCAGGCTCCGAGCTGTCCGCGCAGGGGCCGACGCGGGGCTCGAACCCACGGACCGCGGGATCATGACCTGAGCCGAAGTCGGACACTTAAGGGACTGAGCCACCCAGGCGCCCCCTCCTTTTAAAGTGACACTGAAGGTGGATTTCTTCACCCAAACTGTGGTCCGAACTGAGGTCTATGTCTGTCGGGTGAAGTCCTGTGAGTGACCTTCCAAAACCAGAGCAGGTGGACAGCTTTAAAACTCTTGATGAATACGGTCAAATTGATCTCCGGGAGGTGTGAGCAAATCCTGTCCCCGCCCGCGAGGCCCGCACCCGCTTGGTGCTGCTGGGGTCAGTGTTAGGTATTTCTGGTTAAAACACCACCGCTCCCGCTCGGACAAGAGCAGCCCGCGGCGGTGGGAACATCCGTGATTATCGCTCTTTGTGGCTCATTTGCAACTCTTGTGTCACACGTTGTTCAGGTCTGGGGTGTGTTTGTCTTCACAATAAAGTCAAGTGCAGGTCCTAAGCACTTTCTTATCAACCGACGCACGGTGTCTCTCGCTTTGGGATGTAATCCTTCGTCAAACTACTCAAACCCTGTTTGGGTCTGTTGTTGTCTTCACAGGGGTGCCTTTATTTGGTTTGGTATAAAACATTTACATTTTTATGGAGTCGCCCCTGTGAGCCTTTCCCCCTGGGGGGCTTGGTTTGCCTTCTGTTTTGAAACTTAGAAAACCCTTCTTATTCCCAAAACCAGAAAAATATTCATATTCTCTCTGGTTGTTTTTGTACATGTAAGTTTTTGTTGTTTATTTTCACGTACGCTGTGCACCACGAACGGAATTGCGTCCCCGAAATGCGTACACGGGAGCCCCAACCCCTAATGTGACCGTATTTGCAAGTGGGGTGTTTAGGAGGTAACTGAGGCCAAGTGAGGCCATTACAGAGGCCAGTCCAATGGCACTGCTGTTCCTGTAAGAAGAGGGGCCAGGCACCCCCTCTGCAGGTGTAAGGGAAAGGCCACGGGAGGGCGGAGGCAGAAGGTGGCTGTCCCCATGTCAGGGAGAGCCCCCCTCCCCCCGGAAATCTACCCCGGACATCCAGCCTCCAGAACTGTGAGAACATACACTTCTGTGTTTAAGGTTCTCCATCTCCGCGTTTGGTTACGACGGCTCAAGCCCACTAATACGATTTAGAGAAGAGAATCTAAATTGCCTTTTCTCCCTGTTTTCCTTTGCATTTATTTTTACCAGGATCTCCTTGGAAACTGTTCTTGGGAGGAAGTGTGGCTGCAGACAGGGACGCGTCTGCCCCCGGCCCAGTGATGTGGGTGGCCCAGGAGGCCTGGGGGGGACGCAGCCCAGGAAGGGAGCAACGTCTCCGGACAGCTGCACGCACGGCTTCACCCGAGGATGTTTGGAGCCCTTAAACCTCCAGAAATAGCACAGTAGCCATAAGACAGACGAGGGGCCTGTGTGTTCCACACTGGCATCTCCTGCAGGGGGACCCCGAAGAGACCCACGTGCTGGGCTCTCCCCTCCTCGCTTCCGGAACACGGTGAGTAACCGGGGGGGCCCGGCCTCCACCTACCTTGTATGAAAGTGTCCTCGCCGACCACCTCCAGCAGAGAGGCGTTCCGGAGGGCGACGAGGAACGCAGCAGACACCTCACGGACATCCACGTCTGCGATGATCAGCAGGTTAAACTCTACCACGATGCTGCCGTTGGCGACGCGGGTCACCTCCATCTGGACCCCACCGGCGTCCACGTGCTGAAGCATGGCGGCCGGCAAGGAACCCCGCACCTTTAGAGAAACCGCACAGGTAAGGGGCCACCCGCCAGGAGGAAGCGGGTGCCTGTCCCCGGGGTGGGGGGGAGGGCACCTCCTGGGATTCTGGCCAGCAGCAGACTGGTCCAAGCCAAAGGTCAGTTCTGGGCCCAGTCTGGTGTAGCGAGCTGTGTCCCAGGTCCAGCACCAGTGCCTGTGGGTCCTGAGCCCCAAGAAGAGCCCCGCTCCCCCAGAGCGCGTCTGCTGGCCAGTGTGGACCAGACGCACAAGCCCCACCCCGGGGGGCACGCCACTCATGGGGGGCTCACGACGGCATTTAGAACCTGCTCTCCTCGGCTCAGAGCCATGGAAGGCGCAGGCCAGACAAGTGGTCGTGGGAGGGCGGGGGGGCGTCTCTCTCACTGTGTTTTCTAGAACAATCCTTTTACTGCTGATGCTGCCACGATGCCTCAGGCTGTGGTGTTCTGTCCTAGCCCCTCACAGTCCAAACACCCAGAGATGCACACCGCCTCATGACGTCCATAGAACGCCAGCCTTCTGGAAAAGTACACTTCCAGGGTTTGACCTCATCCAGAGCCTGCCGGGTGTGGTGGCCCAAGGCACAGGCTCGTGGGTTCACTTCCCAGCGGGGGACAGCCAATGTGAACAAACGTGCTGGCACCCTGCTGTCACGTGGGCACCATCATAACCACTGGAATGACTGACTCTCTCTCTCTCTCTCTCTTTCTGTCTGGGATGTCCAGAGAGGGATCAGTCACAAGCTTGGCTTAAAGTCACTTTGGGTTGCATTTCCGACCAGTCTCAAAGCAAAGCTCCAGGCCCCCTTGCTAAGAAGTGACAAGGCACGAGGCGTCGTGTTAACCCACGACCTCCCAAAGTTGGTCCGAAAGTCCTACGTAGGTGATAAGTCGCACCATTACTGGCTATCCTGAAATTCTAGACAAACCAACAACGGTCCCCAGAAATAGGCGAGGAATGGTTTGAAGAGGAAAGGTTACTCCAGACACGTGAGTGGAAACGGGGCTGCCTCAAGGGACCACCGGAGCCCTGAGGACTAGCGGTCAGGGCTGTGGCTTAGTGTCGTGTGTCACAATCACAGAACCTATAGAAGAGGGTGAATGGAGCCATCAACAACTCTCGAGTCCACGCACTGGGCCGAGAGCTGGGGACCCCAGGATAAATAAGGCAGAACCCCAGGCCCCAAGGAGTCCCAGTGGGACACTTCTCGGAGGCAGGAGACCCATTTTCCAGGCCAGCGATGCTGTGAGGGGAGAGCAGAATCAGTTAACGAGCCAGCGGGCTAGCACGTTAGCACGCTCGGCCTGGAGGTGGTGCCGCTCTGCAAACCCCAGAGTCAGGAAAAGCTGAAATGGATGAGGTGTAAGCAAGACGGTGAGACCATGACAAGCACCTTCTCTTCTCCTCAAAGGGGCATCTAAGCGCCAGCAGAGAGAACACGGAGACGGCCACCCAGACTAAACTGTAACAATACGCCGTCTCTAGGGATGTCAGTGGGACGACAGGGGAAGCCTCAGAAAGATCAGGAAACATAATAGCAGAGCAGGAGTCACTTCAGCCAGAGAGTGAACCCAACCCAGTGTGCATCAGAGACTGAAACGTGGCCTCTGCGTTCAGTGGAGCGTTATCCGGCCATAAAGAGCGGTGAGCCACTGTCGATCCCTGAAGACGCGCTCAGGGAGATGATCCAGACACAAAAGGTCACGTATCGCATGATTCCGCGCACGTGAGATGCCCATGGCAGGCAAACCCACAGGGACGGAGAGCACATTAGTGGTTGCAGGGGTGGGGGGTGTGGAGAGTCACCGAGAATGGGAGAGGGGCGTCTTTTGGGGGTGATGGAAATGTTCCGGAATTAGACAGCGGTGACGGTGGTACAATTTCACAAATAAAATCTAAACCATTGCACTAGGCACTTTTTTTTTTAATTTTTTTTTTTTAATTTTTTTCAACGTTTATTTATTTTGGGGACAGAGAGAGACAGAGCATGAATGGGGGAGGGGCAGAGAGAGACAGAGACACAGAATCGGAAACAGGCTCCAGGCTCTGAGCCATCAGCCCAGAGCCTGATGCGGGGCTCGAACTCACAGACCGCGAGATCGTGACCTGGCTGAAGTCGGACACTTAACCGACTGCGCCACCCAGGCGCCCCATTTTTTTTTTTAATTTTTAACATTTATTTATTTTTGAGAGACAGAGCACGAGCAGGGGAGGAGCAGAGAGAGAGGGAGACACAGAATCCGAAGCAGGCTCCAGGCTCCGAGCTGGCAGCACAGAGCCCGACGCGGGGCTCGAACCCACAGACCGTGAGATCGTGACGTGAGCCGAAGTCAGACACTTTAACCGACTGAGCCACCCAGGCGCCCCGAGGGAATATCACTTCTGAATCTACACCCTACGCTGTAGGTCACTTGCTCCCACGCTAAGCACTTTTAAAGTGTGCATTTTAGGATCTGTGAAATAGATCTCAATTTTTTAAAATTTTCTTTGTGGGGCGCCTGAGTGGCTCACTTGGTGTCCGACTCTTGATTTCGGCTAGGGTCATGATCCCGGGGTCGTGGGATTGCGCCCCGCTTGGGATTCTCTCTCTCTGCCCCTTCCCTATGCTCGTGTGCTTGCTCTCTCTCTCTCTCTCTCTGTCTCTCTCTTTCTGAAGCAAGGAGGCAGCAGAGGCAGCTACTCAGCATCTAATGATAGACCCCGGGGACGCCAGGCACCACTCTGGAGCCAGACGCCCAGCTTCCTTCAGAAATGAGGGTCCCAGGCCCCTGCAAGCACCAAGTCCTGCTCGACCGGGACTGAGATTCTGCCCCCCTCCCTCCCGCACATCCCAAAAGGAAACAGAGACTGGCTTTGCCAACTTACCACCCTGAAGAACAGCTCTAGGAAGTCCTGATACTCCCTGCTGCTTGCGTTCCGGAAGGGCTCCACGTACCTGACGTTGGCTATTCTGACTTTCCCTCTGAGCTTCTGGGCCGCTGCGGGACAGAGAATAAACACGTCTGGAGCGGTAACGCAGTAGGTAACGGTAAACGCGTTAGGTGATGTATTAGGTGACGCGTCCTGATAATGGCACTGTCATGTCGGCCGAAAGAATATCAGTGCCCTGCGTGCACAGTCACAGCCCAGCCCACCCCAGAGGGTGCCGGCACACAGCCTGGGCACAGAGAGAGAAGCTTCCGGAGGCTGCAGAACCAGGCCAGCCCCTGACACTCTCTTCTCTCTCTGTGCACAGGTGTCGAGGTGATTCAACGGTAGGCACTACTTTGAGAGTGCAAGAAGTCCCTATTCATTCCGGGGCCACAGGTGCACAACTGGGCATCCTGGAGAAGCCAGGACAGAGGGTGGCCTCGCCCCGCCTCTGCTCAGCGCCCACAACTCAGGACAGAGGGCCAGAGGTCCTGACCCTCTCCTTCCTCCCCTAGAGCACTGTTTCTCCGCACGTTAAGGGCAGCCCCTGCTTTTGCACTGGTCTTTTCCATCTGAGTCTGTTCCCTCCACGCGGGGCCTCTGGAGTGGAGGCTGTGGGACGAGAATGTGGTCCAAGAATATTGCCTGGACCAGCAGCCCCGTCGTTCAGTCCTCCACCAGATGTCTGTGGGGTTCTTGCTCCGTGCCCAGCCTTCCGGGCAGTGGAGGGAAAGGCCAAGGTTCCTCTGCCCCCACAAACCCCAAAGCCATCCCAGGACATACTGCTGGATGACCCCCAAAACCACGCCCTGGGGATCACTCCCGTCGCTGTGCCTGAGGGCCACCGGTCCAGACACAACAGCTGGAGAATGCAGCCTGGTGGAAAAGCCCGGGGAGCAGGACGGATGAGCATACGGGTGAGAAGGGACGTGGACCCACCCCCAGCATGGGTCACACGCCCACGGGTGGCCTCTCCTGCCAGCAGGTGAGACCTGCAGAGGCCATGTTGACGCGGAAAGCCCCGCACTGGCTCTCAGAGGCACCGACTACCCCTTCTCGCCACGAGCCTGCCTGAGGGCATCCCCGCACACCGTCTCCCCTCTCACCCCCTGGTCTTTGGTTAATCGGTACTTCAAAGTATGCAGACAGAAGCTCTGACACCCCCAAGGGCTGTGCACCCCACCTCGGGGAACACGGCCATCTGCTCTTGGACAGCTGCCCAAGATCTGGGGACCCATCTGCAATGTCAGGCCGGCCCTCGGCTGTTCGGGCAAGTTAGACTTTCGGGAAAACATCCGGTAGGAAGGAGGAAACACAAGATGGATCTGAACACGTAACTGTCACAAGCACCAGGGCCGACAGACGAGCTGTCCGACGGTCTGACGTCCCACGTCCACCTGTCCTCCCCGGAAGCCGAGTGCAGGCCCTCTGAGAGCGGGGACATCAGAGCGAGTGCACAACGCTCAGTCCAGCAGCGCCGCGTGTGCATTTTCCTGCCGCGGACGCGCGAGGACGCCGCCTCCCCGCTGACTTTTGACAGCCAGCCCCGTGCGAGCTGAGCCAGGCTGATAAGAGGGCAGAGACCCAGCCGCTCCCCAAGGCATCCAGCTCTGTCGGACCCCAACCCACTAAAAGCCATTCTCGTACTTTTCCCCTCCCTTTAAGAACAAGTGGGGACAAGCGCTTCTGAAACCCATCACCCACCTGTCCTGACTTTCAGGCGGGCCCTGGCACTTCCGTTCCCGCAAGCTTTGGCCGCTATCTCCACCAGGTGCAGGACGCCAGGCTCCAGGCCCGACAGCGTCAGGCTTGCGTCCCGGGTCTCCAGGTGCACCGCGGGGTTCCGCGGGGAGGTCAGGGTGAGCTGGAAGGTGGGGTGTGGGGTGAGATCCGCCGCCCACGCCACGTGAAAGCTGGTGCTGGTCACGTTGGACACCGTGACCCTCTCGATGGGGACGGGAACTGGGAAGTGGATGGAAACACGGAGAAGATTAAAATCAATCCGGTGTTCCAAGGAGACAGGACAGGAGAAGCCTCACCAAACGCTAAAATCAAGCACATGGCCTGGGGACACAAGAGGGCCTCCTAAGGGGGGGACGCCAGCCCAGGGAAGTCCTACAAAGTCCCCTCCTGCAGGCAGAGCACGTGGTACAGGGTCCCCACCCCCCGCCCCAGGGCTCGACTTCCTGCTCCAGCCTTGGGTGAGACAGGAAGGCTTGGGAACAGGGAGGAGAGAACTCTGGAGAAAGGTTGCTGTCCTAACAAGCCCAGAAGCTGCCACCGGGGACCGGGCTGCGCGGTACCCCACTTGGCCCAGCCCTGCCTACCACAAGCAATCTACCTGGGTATTTCTCACAGGACTTTGACTCAACGTCTGCATGAGGCTTTGCCAACTGGAGCTCAACTCTTTCCCAGTGTGTTCAGGCCTCAGGCCACGTGTCCCCAGGACATACGATCCCAGGCACTCACCACAGGCCGGAAGCTTCAGAGACTCAGGGGTGGGGGCCGAGGGAGGGTCCGGGGAGCCGGAGGGTCCGGGGACCAAGTTCTGTGGCCTTGTGGGGTCCAGAGCTGCTGGTGCTGTGTCCCCGGTGGGGAGGCTGGCGTGCCAGATGATGTGGTCTGTGGGGCCCTCGGTAGGACTGGGCCAGAGGGGCCGCTCCGTGCTCGAGTCTCTTGATAACCACCCAGGGGTGCTCAGCGAGCCATTCGTGGGCCCAGAAGGGGAGCTGTGGGTTGTCCCAGGAGCCGTGCTGGCTGTCCACTGGCCTGTCACCAGGCCTGGGGCCCTGCCGGGTGCTCCCTCCTCCAGGCCTTGCCTCGTGCTGTTCTTGTCCTTCCCGACCGGGCCGCTGCCCCCTCTCCTGGGTGGGGGCCCCGGGGTCTGGGCCTGATTTGCTGCAGGGGTGCCCCCCGGGTGCCCAGGGCTGGGCCACAAGGCAGACGTCTCTGGGCCAAGGGCTGCTGTCTCTGTGCTGAGAGCTGGGGCTGTAACACCTGTTGCTGGAGCCAGCACCCCTCCTGTGGGGCTCACCACGTCACCTGCTGAGACACATCCACTCTGAGAGGAGACGTCTGGTCCTAAAACACCTAAAGAAAACCCACCAGATGCCACCCACAAGCGAGAGCCTCCCAGGCGGGCCCCAAGTGGGGACACAGGCAGTCTCGTTGGGGATTATGGCATTATGAGTATTTAGGGGGGCCCGTGTCCACGGCCTCCCGCGTGCTTTCATAGGGTGAGACAGGGCCTCTCCATCTGATAAATGAGGCTCTGAGACACCAGGAGGGGGGCTCCACCTGGTGGCTGCACAGCCAGGACCTAAGTGCAGGGCTTGGTTCCCGCACCCAGGGGGCCTTTGGGAAAAGGGGGCAATTTCTCTGGATCTGTGCTCAGGGTGGGGCTTGGTGCTGGTCACTGACATCAGCCTGCTGGACGGGACATGACTAAGGAAAGAATGCGGGACAGAGGCCAGCGGATGTTAGAAAGGACGTGGGATATCAGGTCCCCGGGGGCGAGGGTGTGGCCCAGAAATGCTGGGGGAGGGGGTGGGGCGCACCCTCACAGGCCCGGCCCGCGCGGGAGGGGTTGGCGTCCCTGGCCGTCCGGCACCGACAGGTGTAGGAGCCCTCGACGTTGATGCACTGGGCAGCGGGTGAGCAGTCGTGCCCCCGGCTGTCTGCACACTCGTCCCAATCTGCCGGGCGGGAGAGGAACAGGACAGAGCCCGTGAGAAGTGGCCCGCGGGCACTTAGGAAACAGAACAGGGATCTTCTCAACCATGTCTGCAGCCCACCGGGGGAGGGGAAGTGCCCTGGGCATCCGGCGGCCCCAGAGGCAGGCGGTCCACAGATCCCTCCCCAGAAGCCTGTCCCTGAACCAAGACCGCAGGCTGAGCATCTGCTTGCTCCGACCTTCACGGCTGGCGGGGCTGAGTTGGCACCCACCGGTGTGGCTATATTCCTCTCTCGTGCATTCTTTGTCGCCAGACCCCAAAAAGCAGGGCGCCTTGCCTTCTCTCTGATGCACCAACATCGCCTAATGTTTTAGTACTTTAACAAAGAGAACCGAGCGAGCCAGGAGGAGTCCGGCTAAGTGCGACCTGAACTTTCGGTGACGCGGCCTTGGAACGCGCCTCCCCAGTCTGGGAAACCACTCTAAGAATCCCAAAGACACCATGTCACCTCAGCTTCTGAGCTGAGCAAGGAAGAGTCCTAGGTAAGTGTGTCAGCCCCCCCCC